GTGCGGAGGAGGAGGGAGGTTTCCCCTAGACTTTCAGGAGGAGAACAAAGCCTAGCATCTGTATAATAATTGGATATTTCTAGTAAACTGTTTATGAGGAAGAAATCTCCAAAGCAGCAGTGGTGAAAATATCCTAGCATTAACCCTCTCAGCACTCCGGGGATCTTTAAACAGACTTAATTTACTAATGCAGAAAGCCAAATATGAGCAAGTATTCATTAGAAGGGAAACACTTGTTTTAATATATATATATATATACACACACACACACACACACATATATATATTGTATATACTTGAGTATAAGCCGAAGCACCGAATTTTACCACAAAAAAACAACAACAGGGAAAACGTATTGACTCGAGTATAAGCCGAGGGTGGGAAATGCAGCAGCTACTGGTAAATTTCAAAATAAAATAGATACCAATAAAATTACATCAATTGAGGCATCATTAAGTTAAATGTTTTGGGACATAAAACTGTAATTTATGATAGGACTGTCCAAATCTGATTAAACCATCATTCTAACCTTTTTCAATGTAAATGTGCTTACGTATCCTTCCAATAATAGAGTAAAAGAATAAAAGTAATAAAAATAATAATCGAGTAAAATAATGGAAATGTAATAATAACAGTAATAATATTTATTATTTATTTATTTATTGCATTTGTTAACCGCCGCTCTCAGCCCTAGGGCGACTCGCGGCGGTGTACAACATATAAAAACAGTATACAATAAAGCACAACAAAATCAGCAATTCACTAATACACACTAACTAATTACACTAAACTAATCCGCGTCGTCACACATAGAATCATAGCCAATCTCATAGACCGTATTCCGTTCCACTTGTCATTACCCGTTTGTATAGCACTCAATTAAATGCCTTTTCAAATAGCCAGGTCTTTAGGCTCTTACGGAAAGCCATAAGGGAGGGCGCCTGTCTGATGTCAACAGGGAGGGTGTTCCACAGCCGGGGGGCCACCACCGAGAAGGCCCTCTCTCTCGTCCCCGCCAGACGTGCCTGTGAGGCAGGCGGGATCGAGAGAAGGGCCTCCCCAGACGATCTCAAGGCCCTCGTGGGCTCATAGGCCGAGATGCGGGCCGAAAGGTATTTTGGGCCGGAACCGTTTAGGGCTTTGTAGGATAACACCAGCACCTTAAATTGGGCCCGGTAGCAGATCGGCAGCCAGTGGAGCTGGGACAACAAGGGCGTTGTATGCTCCCTGCGTCCCGCTCCTGTTAGTAACATGGCTGCCGCGCGATGGACTAGCTGAAGCTTCCGGGCCGTCTTCAAGGGCAGCCCCACGTAGAGAGCGTTGCAGTAGTCAAGGCGGGATGTGACCAGAGCGTGTACCACCGTGGCCAAGTCAGACTTCCCAAGGTACGGGCGCAGCTGGCGCACGAGCCTAAGCTGTGCAAATGCTCCCCTGGTCACCGCTGAAACCTGGGGATCCAGGCTCAACGATGAATCCAGGGTCACACCCAAGCTGCGAACCTGCGCCTTCAAGGGGAGTGCGACCCCGTCCAGCACAGGCTGTAACCCTATACCCTGTTCGGCCTTGCGACTGACCAGGAGTACCTCTGTCTTGTCTGGATTTAATTTCAGTTTGTTCGCCCTCATCCAGACCATTACAGCGGCCAGGCACCGGTTCAGGACCTCGACAGCCTCCTTAGTAGCAGATGGGAAGGAGTGACAGAGTTGGACATCATCTGCGTACAGATGACACCGCACCCCGAAACTCCGGATGATCTCACCCAGCGGCTTCATGTAGATATTAAACAGCATGGGGGACAGTATAGAGCCCTGTGGAACGCCACAGGTCAAAGGCTGTGGTGTTGAACAGGAGTCCCCCAGTAAAAGAATAAATGTAACAATAATAATAATAGAGTAAAATAATAAATGGAATAATAATAAATACAGTAAAAGAATAAATGTAATAAAATAATAGAATAAAACAACAAAGTAATAAGAGGAAAATAAATGTAATAAAAATAGTAAATAAGAGTAAAATAATAAAAGTAATAATAGAGTAAAATAATACATGTAATAATAATAAAGTAAAATAATGAATGTAATAATAATAGATAGTAAAATAATAAATGTAAATATAATAATAATAATAATAATAATAATAATAATAATAATAATAATAATAATAGAGTAACATGATAAATAACTTTAACTCCAGTATAAGCCAAGGAGAGCTTTTTCAGCCTAAAAAAGGCCTGAAAAACTCTGTTTATACTCGAGTATATACGGTATATATAATGAAGGTAAGGCATACATACCATGTTTTGTTAAAGACTGTGTCCATTCTTATTCTTTCAGTAAGCTATTACAATGAAGAATGTGTCAGACAGAAAAGGATTGGGTTAATTTTTTTAATGTTGAAAAAAGAGTGGATAACACCGCTTGGAGTGAATGGAAACATATTCAGTGGAGGCTTGAATTGACAAAAAGCAGGGAATGTATGATACAAAATAAAAGCAGTTTATGGTAAAACAATTTTAAATTGAGGTGAGAATGTAGAATGAAGAAAATTGTTCACCCTTTCCTCCCAGCTCAAACTGGCTAAGGCAGGTAGATGGAGACCAGATTAACCAATCTCTTGTGAGGGTAGTAGTAGTAGGAGTAGTAATAATGATAATAATAGTATTACCTGCTTTGCAGCTTGTGGCAGGATACAACATGATTAAAACAGATAAAACACAACACTATTTAAATTTATATACTAGAGGTAAAATGCAAGTTAAATCCACAAGTTAAAATCGACTGGGTAGGCCTGCTGGAAGAGATAGGTCTTCAGTTGTATCTTAAATTCTGATAGCTGATTTAGTGATTGAATCTCTACCTGCAAGTAATTTCACAGGAAAGTATCTTTGCCTGGAGTGGGAGATCAATTCAACACCACTGTAATCCTTCTTGCTCTCCTAATACTCGGGGAGATATTGAGGATATATATTTTAGCAATGCTGATGTTCGTGTTCAGAGGTGGGCAATGTGTAGTTCATCAGCCACATTTACCCCAGGGGTTGTTTTGGGGAACCCTCAAGGATTAAAAGAATTGCTCCAAAATGACCAAAAATTATCTTGGTGGTGTTATGGAGGGCTTTTCCCTTTCTTTGGACCTCAATGAGACTTCAAGAGAAAGAATACTCTCAGAACGCCCAGAAGATTGCAAACTATTATAGGTCTCTGTGCCCCATAGGAGGCATTTGGAAGCAATATATTCTATTTGCAGGAACAAGTGTGTTTGTGTGTGTGGGGGTGGGGGAGCTGTGCGGGGGTACAGAAGCCTTCTAAGGTGTATTGGAGGACATATGCAGCCCCCTAGTATTCAAGTCCTATCCTAGATCAGTGGTGGCAAACCTATGGCATGTGTGCCACAATAGGCATGCAGCACTCTCTCTGCATCAATTCTGCTTTGTAGATGCATCCATTCTCTCTCTGCCATATCACTTACAAGTGTGGAAATATGCAGAGCATTTCTGTACATGTTTACAAAGAGGTATTGAATTCTATAGAATTACTTACAGGAAACTATGTGTAGGATTTCAGCATCAACATACTTGTTAAATGTTCATAAATACTCAAGCCTAATTTACCGATAAAGTTGTATTCAGCACTTTACCCCCGGCCCTATAGTTTGCTTTTTGCACAAGCCCATGCCCTGCCCTCTGAAATTTGATCATGCCCACCATATTCCTGGTTATTGGTTGTTGAGGTTGGTTTGATACACTTTTATGAGGGTTAGCATAAGGGTTAAGGTAAGGTTTAGGGTTTGGGTTTCGATAAGGTTTTGGGTTTGGGTTAGTGTAAGGGTTAGGGCAAGGTTTAGGGTTTGGGTTAGCGTAAGGGTTTGGGCAAGGGTTTGGGTTAACGTAAGGTTTAGGGTAAGGTTTAGGGTTTGGGTTAGTGTAAGAGTTAGGGTTTGGGTTAGCTTAAGGGTTAGGGTAAGGCTTAGGGTTTGGATTAGGGTAAGGGTTACGGTTAGGGTTTGGGTTCGTGTAAGGGTTAGGGTAATGTTTAGGGTTTGGGTTAAAGATAGGATAAGGTTTAGGGTTTGGGTTAGGATTTTCGTAAGGTTTAGGGTTTGCTTTAGGGCTACAGTTAGAGTAAGGGTTACAGTTAGGGTAAGGGCAAGGTTTAGGGCTTGGGTTTGTATAAGGGTTAGGGTAAGGTTTAGGGTTTGGGTTTTGGGCTACAGTTAGGGTAAGGGTTACGGTTAGGATAAGGGTTAGGGCAAGGTTTAGGGCTTGGGTTGGGTTAGCGTAAGGGTTAGTCTTACGGTACAGTTCAGGGTTAGGGTTTCACCATCAAAGAACTCTTACATTCCTTCTATATTATCTGTCTCCAGCCTGGCTTACATCAGCTAAGTCTCTCTTGCACAAACAGCGCTTTCGAAGGAGTGATGCGCTGGAGCTTCCAACCCAGCTATCATACTGTTACCGAGGTCAGTTAACTTTCCACTGGAACAGTACCTATTGATCTACTCACATTTGCATGTTTTCGAACTGTTAGATTGGCAGAAGCTGGGGCTGACAGTGGAAGCTCACGCCACTCCCTAGATTCGAACCTGTGACCTTTCGGTCAACAAGTTTAGCAGCTCAGCAGTTTAACCCGCTGCACAAATTTCTCAGGGTTCCTTTGCCAGGGTGTCAGATTTGGTAGCTCTGGGTGCCTCTCTACACTGTGGAATGAATGCAGTTTGACACCCCTTGGCTCAGTTTGACATTGCCCTGGCTCAATGCTATGGAATCCTTGTGATTTAAAGAAGCAGCAGCACTCTTTGGCAGAGAAGGCAAAGGGGAGCACATCAAAGGCAAGGGTTCCCTAGCCTTGTGCCAGTGTAGAGAGTTGCCTTCTGTGGCTCAGAAAGCAAAGCCAGGGCTGGCTGGCCTGAGACGGGAAAGAGCCACCGCCTTGTGGGTTCGCAGCCCAAGCTGAGCGTGACGCAGCCAGGGATTGGTCCCTCGGAAAGGAAGCGGTCCAATCGAGCAGCAGTGCCTCCAAAGGCTCTTAAAGGGCCAGCAGAGCCAAGCGCCTGCTTCTCCCCGCTCTTCCTGCACCGAAAGGCCTTGACGTGGCTGGGGAAGAATCCCGCCTGTCCCTTCCCCTTCCTTTCCTTCCACCCGCGGAAAGGGATCCCCAGCCGGGTTTCCGCATTTTGGAGAAGGACTGGAAACCCCAATGCCATGAACTCTTCCCCACGCCTCCCCTGGCTGTAATCTTGCCACATTCCTTTTCCGGGTTGGTTTGTTTATTTATTCCTTGCTTGCTGGTAGGTGGAGGAATGCGGGGAAAACCCACGCAGCCCTTCCTTTGAGTGGTTGCTCCTGCCTTCGGGCTTGATTCACCTGGGTTGCGCATTTCCCACGTTCAGGGCCTGGACGCGTGTTGCTTGGGCGTTTCCCACATTCAGGGCCTGGGCGCTCCTGCTTCCTAATGGACGGGACTGCCAGATGGTCTTGGATTGCAGGAAGAATGCGGATCGACAACAATTTAAACAGCTACGGAATCATGGGAGTTGTAGTTTTGCAAGGAAAAAGAGGGCTTGGGGCTCACCAAACTACCAATACCAGGATCCCATCGCCTTGAGCCATGTCAGTGAAAGCAGTGCCAAACTGCATCCTATAGTGCAGGCATGGGCAAACTTGGGCCCTCCAGGTGTTTTGGACTGCAACTCCCACAATTCCTAACAGCCGGTAGGCTGTTAGGAATTGTGGGAGTTGCAGTCCAAAACACCTGGAGGGCCCAAGTTCGCCCATGCCTGCTATAGTGTATCTCCACCCAATACTTCCCTCTTAACCTGATGTATTCAGAGCTCTAAATTATACTATTCTGTTGTTCGCCTATGAATGAACAATAGGCTTAGTGGAGTTTCTTGCCTTGCGTTTACACTGGAATTAATGGAGCTCGACACCACTATGATTGCTATGGCTCAAGGCTATGGAATCCTAGGAATGGTAGTTTGGTGAGCCTCCAGCACTCTTTGCCAGAGAAAGGCTAAACCAGTGGTTCTCAACCTGTGTCCCCAGATGTTTAGGCCTTCAACTCCCAGAAATCCTCAACGGCAGGTAAACTAGCTGGGATTTCTGGGAGTTGTAGGCTAAAACACCTGGGGACCCACAGATCGAGAACCAATGGGCTAAAGGCTCTGTCAACTCGCACAACTCCGTAGCATTAAGTGACATCCAAATCAATATTGTGCCTTTTTTTTCTTTGCACTTTATTTTGAGTGTTTTGGTCTCTCTCTCTCTCCCACCCCCCATATTTTGAAATATAATACATACAGATGTATGAGATATCTTAGACATGGGAACCCAGTCTAAACATAAAATTCATTATTTGTTGTCGACATCTGGAAGCACTGTGTTGCTGTGAGTTTTCTGAGCTGTATGGCTATGTTCCAGAAGCATTCTCTCCTGACATTTTGCCCACATCTGTGGCAGGCATCCTCAGAGGTTGTGAGGCTTGTTGAAAACTAGTCAAGTGGGATTTATATATCTGTGGCATGTCCAGGGTGGGAGAAAGAACTCTTGTCTGCTTGAGGCAAGTGCGAATGTTGCATTTTATCACCTTGATTAGCATTGAATAGCCTTACAGCTTCAAAGCTTGGCTGCTTCCTGCCTGGGGGAAAGCATTTCTTTTTTTTATTTAAAAAAATGTTTTTTCGTGTCAGGAGCAACTTGAGAAACTGCAAGTCACTTCTGGTGTGAGATAATTGACCATCTGCAAGGACGCTGCCCCAGGGGCCACCCGGATGTTTGATGTTTTACCATCCTTGTGAGAGGCTTCGCTCATATTCCCTATCGGTCAGCGGTCCTGCTGGCACAAGGTTTTAACCCATTGTGCCACCAGGGGCTCCAGTCCTTTGTTGGTAGGTGATTAGTTGGCCTTGATTGTTTCTTGTCTGGAATTCCTGTTTTTAAGTGTTCCACTTTACTTTCTGTTCTGATTTTAGAGGTTTTTTAAATACTGGTAACCAGATTTTGTTCATTTGTATGGATTCCTCCTTTCTGTTGAAATTGTCCACTTGCTTATGGATTTCAGTGGCTTCTCTGTGTAGCCTGACATGGTGGTTGTCAGAATGGTCCAGCATTTCTGTGTTCTCAAATAATATGTTGTGTCTGGGTTGGTTCATCAGATGCTCTGCTATGACTGACTTCTCAGGTTGAAGCAGTCTGCAGTGCTTTTCGTGTTCCTTGATTTGTGTTTGGGCAATGCTGCATTTAGTGGTCCCAATGTAGGCTTGTCCACAGTTGCATGGTATACTGTAGACTCCTGCAAAGGTGAGAAGAAATGTCTAAGCTCTGAAACTTCAAGGCGATTCAATGCTAATCAAGCCGATCAATTGCTACATTCACACCTGCTTCAAACAGACAAGAGTTATTTCTTCCACTCTGGACATTCCACAGATATATAAACCTCACTTGCCTAGTCTCCAACAAATCTCACAACCTTTGAGGATGCCTGTTATTGATGTGGGTGAAATGTCAGAAGAGAATGCTTCTGGAATATGGCCATATAGCCCAGAAAACTTACAGCAACCCAAAATTCATTATGCTTCATATATACACATAGCCTGGAGGTAATTTGCAGGATAGTAATTTTATATCCAATATTTTTAGTAATTTTTTCGTGTCAGGAGTGACTCCTGGTGTGAGAGAATTGGCCGTCTGCAAGGACGTTGCCCAGGGGACGCCTGGATGATTTGATGTTTTTATCATCCCTGTGGGTGGCTTCTCTCATGTCCCCGCATGAGGAGCTGGAGCTGATAGAGGGAGCTCATCCGCCTCTCCCCGGATTCGAACCTGCGACCTGTCGGTCTTCAGTCATGCCAGCACAGGGGTTTAACCCACTGCGCCACCAGGGGCTCCTATTTTTAGTAATGTCGTGAGTGTTCATTAGAAAACACAGCTGTCACCATTGCAGGCCCCCATGTGAACAATTTGGGAGGATTTCAGAGCTCTTTTATGGCAATTAATCGTGAGGAGTATTATGGGAATTTTAGTTCCTTTTCATGAAACATAAATGTATTGTTAATGATGAAGTGTTTACTGGTGAACTGCCATTGAGCCAGATTTTGTGATTCAAAAGACGAAGTGGGAACTTTGGCTTAATACAGCCAAGAAAGGAAGGTTTTCGTGAAAGTATACGAGAGCTCTGTTCTAGGCCTCTTCCTCACAGCTGAATGAAATCCCACATTATCTGTTTTGAACTGGAATATTTGGCAGTGTGGACTCAGATAGCCTAGTTCAAATAAGATAGTGTGGGGTCAGACTAGCACCCACAATATAATAATATTATTATTATTTTCTGCCTTGCTATTCTGGGATATAGGGCTGTGTAGAAGGACCCCTTCTCATTGCTCTCTTCTTCTTAAATTAGGAGGCCTGTAATAATAGCATAAAGTGTGCTACTGTTTTGTGGCAGCTTGACCAACTTTTTAATTTGAGTACATAATGTTGCATATCTTTAAAGGTTGTTTTAGCTAAAGGAGTTCATATTTTATCACCTGTTTTACTTCTCTTTGCCTCTAGTCCTCCTGCGGCCAAGAACGCTTGCATTTGTTTTAAAATCTTTGCCCAATGGCACAAGCCAGGGAAGCTTCAGAAACATACATGGTGTATTTTGAGCATTTAATTGTTATAGTAACCATATATCTTTTTTTGTATTTTGTTGTGTTTTGCTTCATTACCAACATGGCTACCACTAAATATGTTACTAGCTTTTGCAGTAATGTTTTGCTCTATATTTTAATGATCCTGATTTAGGAAACGAAACTGAACCTATGACAGAAAGGAAGAGAGATGGCTGTCTTCAGTGCATCAAGGAACTGTGTTTTAACCCGTCTGACTTCTTTGGCCAGTTGGCGCAAGTGCATTCATCCTTACGCATTTTCTAGTGAAGCCTTGAATGGACACCAATATCAAGTAACCAAAGGCCAGAGATGGAATAAAAACAATAGCCCACGATGCTACTTAATGACTGATAACTCCAGCATTTATAGAAATGTCATTAATAATAGCCAAGGGTGTTTTCTGAACACTAAGAATGAAGGACTACACAGAGTAGCACACTTCTGTTCTGGAAGGCCCTGTCCTTTCCTTCAGCAACAGGCAAGAAAAAAAGAAGTATTGTTGGGAAGATTTCCCTCTCAGAAGTTGAATCACATTGCTGCAGTTCAGGATGTCCAGATCTTCAGGCCTTTTCATGGGACATCAGCACTGAGGGCAGCTCCCGTCCCGCTCCTGTGGGTCCTTTTGAAGCCAGTTCAGAAACTCTTCGCTATCATCCTTGGGAGGTAAATACTGATATTGCTTTAGATGTACAAACTGGTATTTGGATGTTATAGGAAAAGCTGTTTGTGAAGTTTGTGGTCTTCTTATGAGGTTTCCAACGTGAAAGCTCGTTAGTATTATCATTCGTCATCTTTTTCCTAGCTTTTTTCAAGCTTGGTGAGATTGTTTGGCATTGTATATGATCCTCTTCTTAGATGGCATTCTAAAGACGTTTCCTAAACTGGAAAAAGCACTATAACAGGAGTGAAGATTGTGTGTCTTTCCACACAGTCATGGATTGCCATTTCTATCAGTTCTAGCCAGAATAGCCATTTGAGAGGGATCATGAGAGTTATGGTCTAGCAGTATTCCCCATAGGAATACCCTCTGTTTTCCCCAGCAAAAGATGACAGAATAGTATTTCACTATATCTCTTTCCTTCCAATTTTGGGTCTATGTCTCTTTCCTCAAAAGACACACAGATAATCAAGTGATAGTTAATTATTTAAAAGGGGATTGACAAAAACTTGTAGGAAGGAAAGAGTAAAACCTGCTAATTTATTTGTTGTACAACCAGATTATTCTTGGCTAAGAAAAGGCCAGTGGCAAATATCTCCTCTTTTTAATGTTGGGTCCCCATGGCTTTATATTTTCAGAGCAATCCTGATGACATGGATTGTCATGTTTCTGACACTCTAGAGCAGTGGCTCTCAACCAGTGGGTCCACAGGTATTTTGGCCTACGACTCCCAGAAATCCAAGCCAGTTTAGCAGCTGTTAGGATTTTTAGGAGTTGAAGGCCAAAACATCTGTGGACCCACAGGCTGGGAACCACTTCTCTAGAGATTAGCACATATAGCAATGGATTCAAATTGCAGGAAAAGAGATTCTACATAAACATTAGGAACATTAGGACAGTAAAAGTGGCATAAAGACTTCATCACACAGGGCATTTTAGCACTGTTTTGTTGCTTTTATTCACGGCAAGGGCAGGCATGTCGCGCGTCATCACACAACGCATGGCAGGCCCTGCCCACATTCTTCCCACAGTGGAGGGGAAGCGCCAAAAGGAACTTCCTCCAGCACTACAGGGAGGATAGTGTGTTTTGCTCTCCTTTTCCCCATATGATGGAGGAAAGGGTGACGAGGCAATGCACGTTGCCATGCGTTGCCACCCTTTCTTCCATCTGATGAGGATAGGGACAGGGTGCCAATGCACCCTGTCCCATCCTCACAGTATGATGGAGGAAGGAGGGAGGGCGTGCGGAGCATCACAAGCTGCCCCACACTCCTTCCCCTTTGCTTGAGACTGCTGATGAAACAGTACAGCCAAAAGGGCCATGTGGGCTTAAGAGTGGAATATGATACCTTGGAGTGTGGTGAAATCTCCTTCTCTGGAGGGTTTTAAGCAGATGCTCAGGCCCATCTATACTACCATATAATGTGGTTTGAACTGCATTATAATGGTCAGTGTAGACGTATATAATGCAGATTGAACTGGATTATAATTATGTAATTATATAAGTCTACACTGCCATATAATCCAGTTCAGTGCAATTGATCTGCATTCTGAAACTGCATTGTAGGTAGTGTAGATGGGGCCTCAGTGATCATCTATCAGGATGGCTTTGATTTTGTGTTTCTGCATGGCAGGGGGTTGGACTGCATGGCCTTGGGTCTCTTCCAACGCTATGATTCCGATTCAAACATAAGTCAAGCTTTCCAGGAAGTCTGGCCATTTCCTTCATTTGGGGCTTTAAGTGCCTGGTGTTTAAAAAGTTTCATATAGCTAAATTCAAGTGTGCCCCATTGCTGATCACTTTGTGCATATAGAAACAGAAGGAAGAAATATGCCCTAAACATTATGCATGTAAAATCATACCCCTTTTGTGGCTTAGAAGCCTTAGATGCTGGATGTTCTTTCTGCGTTTTTGGTTCTGTGCTCTCAAGGCAATGTATCTTTCTTTTAAATGATAAGTTGTATATTTGTTTATAACCAAACATTAAAATGTATGTAATTATTCTTTCTCTTCTGTTGTTGGGAAACATTGTAAGTCTTCACTGTTAGAGTTATCGTTGAGTGTTTATTTCTCCCAGTTGTTAATGACTCCATTCATTCTCATTCTTGGTTTATAGAATGTGGTTTGGAGAGATTGTATACAGTCGACTAGATTTTAGAAATGCACCATGTCTTTAGTTAAAAAAAATTAGCTTAATTAACAGCAGGCACAGTTCAGCCAGTCTCTAGTTTTGATAGAATCTATGTGGAGAGGGAAGTGCTTATCTTCATGTTTTTACCCCTTGTTGTGACCTTATGTTGCTAATGCACCATAATGCACAATATCAGCATACAGTGGTCATGCACAGTTCCTTTGATCTTCCATCTCATAAAAGAAATATAAAGGTTATAGAAATCTATGGCGTTGTGTGATGTTTGCATTGCGCTTTGTTTTGTAAACAGAAATGATGTCCTTTGTTCCACTTTGTATGTGGTGTTCCGAATTGGAGTTTATGTAAACAGGCTTTAAAATATATTGATCTTGAACATGTTTTCCAATTAAAATGGGTAGGGTTCAAAATACAGTTTATGCTTAAGCAAAACTATTAGTGGCCTAGTTCAGGGACTTTTTGACTTTGAAGGATTGACTACTTCTTTCTGACCCAATGCTTTGATGTCAAATTTGTTTTGAAAGTATTATTAAGTTTTGAAAATAGAATGGCTCGTTGCATGGAGAGAGAATTGCTGTTTGCACAAAAATAAGTCTAAGACCCTCCTGGAGTCTTAGAACTAGCTTTATATTTTGTGGGGTCTTATCCATAAACTGTATATTTACACTAAGATTTCTGCATTTACCTTCTAGATGTTCAAGAATATCTGTGCAACTTTCTATTAAATATAAGTTATATATAAAAGAAGAGTACATAGAATAAAGTATGTGAAACAGATCTCAATTTTTATTTTGCTTTAACTTACTGTTAGAAATATAGCTTTTAGTTATTTTAATAGTGGTCTTGGAAGATAAGGGTCAGAGTTGGTTAGTACTTGGATGAGAGACTTTCAACCAGTACCAGGTACTGTAGACTATTTTTCAGAGGAAAGAATTAGCAAACCCACTACTGAATATTCTTTGTTAAAGAAAACCTATGATAAATCATGGGGTCACTGAAATTAGTAGGTGACTTGAAAGCTCATACACAATAGAGGTATATTTAAGTTAATGAAGTTCAGTTGGCCCTCTACACTTGCAGGATGGTCTTTTGCAAATTTTATTATTTACTGATTTGATTGAAATGTTCTCTCCAGGAATCTAAGGACTGTGTTTTGACTAGTTCACTGTGATGGGCACTGGCTCTGCTCTGTGGCCATAACAACAGGTATGAAGCTCATCTGGTGTAACATGGACTTGACCCTTATTACTTAAAGTTGCTGGCTACTCCAGAGCTTTCTCAAAAGTCTGTATTATCCAGGTACTTTGGGCTAGTGTAAACAACTCCAGCCCTTCTTTGCAATTTCCTCAAAGCCCATGATGCAAAATAATGATGACAGTGATGATGCAAATCTTTAGCTAGAGAGTGGACCAGGCAGTTTTGAAGTATCTTGGCAGAAGTATCTCTGGCAAATTGAGGCTTCTGTTTGATGCTTTGTTTTATGTTGATATAATTTATTTGATAGGTTATTTTAGATGTTAAGTTATAATTTGTTTTATATGTTGCGTTATTATTTTTTGCTATTATGTATGAATTGGTTGTTGTATTCAGGCATTGAATGTTTGCCTCTTTGTGATTGGAAACCACCCTGAGTCCCTTTGGGGAGATAGGGCAGAATATAAATAAATTCTTTTTGTTTATTATTATAAAAAACAGTTCCCTATGCTTCTTTGTCAGAGGATCTGTGAACTGAGCTATACCTGTAGTTATTTTTTTTCTGTCTTGTATACTTTTTGGTGTCAATGATTTTTTTGAAGCTAGCAGTTTGAAGATTAAAAAGAGGAGTAACTTGTGTTTGTTTGGATTCCTGCTCATCTTTCAAAATTTTCAGTTTACTCAGGTTTTCTTCTCGTTATATTGTTCCTATCTCTGAGACTTCACAATATATGACTAACCTATTTTAGTGTTGTTTTTAAATGAAAAAAGAATAGTTTTCTTCAAAGGGCCAGGTTTTCTGCAAATCCACAGTGTGTCTGTGTCTCCTGTTTTCTCTCTGTTTTTGCAGCCAGTGCATCAGCAGGTATCATATCATTTTACTGGTATATCAAAGGATAATTTATTGTCACCTCAAAGCTTGTTGTATAAATGTGCCTTTGTGTGTCATTTCAGACTCTTTTTAATGCTTCTTTCAGCTTATTTCAACGTGACAAACATGGTTTGCATTCAAATATGTTTATTTTGTACTCTTGTGTTCCACTTTTTGGGATGTGGGTATGGGGGATATACTTGAAACACTTAGTGCTGTGGCATTGTCTTATAGGTCAAACGGTACAACAGAAGCAAATATTTTATTTCTCATACTTCCAAATAATATGGCTGATTTGAGTTAAAATGAACTTATGTTGGACGATTGATTGCAAAACATGTTGAGCCAATACTATTTTTTTCCTCTTGGCTTCCTTAACTTTCCCAGTCTTTGTGCTTTACAGGAGTATAAGAAAATGGTGGCGTGCTCTTCCACCAAACAAGAAAGAATTATTTAAGGAAAGTGCAAGAAGAAATAAGTGGAAGATTGCCTTTGGACTATGTGGCTTTGGAATTATATTTATCATGTTTTATTTTACCCATTTGGAGGAGACACCAATCACTGGACGTGCTCGGCTTCTGGTGTTTGGGAAGGAACATTTTGCTGAATTGTCTCAGTTTGAATATGACATGGTAAGTGATCATTGTAAACATTTTGTTAGAAGATAATTAAACTTTACCCCTTTCTTGTTCTAGCAGAATTTCTCAGATACAGAATGATAATGAAAAACCTTGCTTTGTAAGACTCTGCTCTTGAACCTGGAACTGTTGTCTAAATGCACAGCACACTTCAGAGGAGGCTTCATTCTTCATTTTTTCCTTTTGTAGTATACATCCCATTCATTCAAGGCTTTTGAAAAGAAAGCTTGCCAAACCAGCAGGATGAGTTGCTATGAATTGAAAAGCTGGGCTGTGCCATGCATAGTGTGAGTTCCCTATAATTAACATCTGAAAATGAATAACAAACTCTCAGCCTGGACATTGTACCTGGACTGCTCAGCTGTCAAGATGGTTATCTGATGGGTTGCGTGGGAGAAAGAGCCTGGCCAAAGAAGGCAGGTTTTATCATCTTGTTCTCTTAAGCTATGGAGAAGTATCTGTGAAGTGTAGAAAATCTCCTAAGGTCAATGCACTGTAGCAGTGCAGTTGACTCTGCCTTAGGGCAGGGGTTGGAAATCATATAACCCTTGACAGATAGCAGCTTCCAAAACTCCTCTTCACTGTTTACTCTGGGAGTAGCAGTCAGACTACATTTAGCAGACTTTATGTCCCTGCCCTAGGGGTATTCTTAATGAAACTCATGCAAAAACTACCTATCTTACTTTCCCCTACTGAATATGCCAAGACATATGATTGTTTTACAACTTCCTGGAAACCAGACAGAGGTGGGGCACATCCTGTCTTACACCCAGGTTTTCTGGCTAATCAGAACAATAGAAACTGATATGAAGATTGGGGGGGGGGGGGYGAGAGAAGACAGGTTCCTGCAGCTTCAATAGTTACTTTGAAAAAAAGTATCAGTAGGCCTAGCGAATCATGTAAACTACARCAGCTGACCCTTTTCCTTTACATAATTATTGCAGATGCAGAAGCCCAGTCCTCTTTTGTGTTTGGCTACCCTAATACAGATTTTGCAGCCTGTGATGCTTGCAAAACATGGTTCATACCACCCTTTGGCTACTTGTGAATACAGTTGCCAAGTTGGATCCTGAACAGACTGTAGAGCAGAACAAGTCGTTGTAAAGCTCCATTAAACTAAACAAAGGTAACTGTCCCACCTTCCAAATTCCAGCTTTGTTCCCAACAGAAGCCCAAAATGGCTGTTTCTTTCCCAAAAGCAGCAGAGGGAAGAAAGAGCATGGAGATGTTAGCAGCAAGAGTGCAAAAGGTGAAAGAGGACCCTTACCTTTGTCTGGTTTGATGGAACTTGAAGGTAACTTGTCCTACTCCACGATTTCCTAAGAAGCCTTGGCCTGTATTCCACCTGGCAGCCCGAACTAGGAATGTAACCACACTTTACATCCCCCACAGAAATGGAAAAACTTGTCATGATGAAGATGAATGTGTACACACACACAGTTGCAGAGACCTTTTCCCTTTGACCAAGGAGTAAACTCACTCGTTTGTCTTTTAGCAGAGTTTCTCTTTAAGCTGCAAGCCTTCCAAAACTCCAGTCTCCTTCCAATACAACCAGACTCCTCCAACAACCCACTTCAAGGAGTAGTACTTTTTCTCCTTTATTCCCCTAGCAGCTGCCCCACCCTGGCTGCAACCACACAATGTTAGCCAGGTGGTTTGGCTCACACTCCCTGCTGCCTTGATCCTTACATCACTTACTACTTGTTACTTAAGAAATGAACTCTAACAAACTGAGGGTGAAATCATAAGGATACTTTCTTGAGTATAAGTCCCATTTAACTTAATGAGTGTGAAATGGTAAGGCCACTTACTAAGTGCGATTAAAACTTTCAGGAGTAATTTAAGCATCATTCTTGCTCATACGGGGTTTTTTTGGAAAGGCAAAGAGATAGTTCATTTTTTGAAAAAAAAATCTCTCTCTGCAAGTACATGCTCAAACTAACATTATTCACCTCTTATGGTTTCCTTCTTTGGAAAGCTTCAGAATTCTATATATGAGGTTTTCTAGTGTATTCATATATTGGTGTTTTTGTTAAAATTGCATCTTCTATTAATTTTAATTCTTTATGTGACATAAAACAAAGTAAACTATATTATTTGGTATGAAATATGTCCAATCTATGATAAGGTAATTGATTGACTGAGAGTTATATGCACAAAACTCTGGGCAAGCTTTCCAAATCTCTTTATGAGGTAAGATGTTACAAAATAGGAGGATTGGATAACCTGATGTTGAAGTCAAGCAAACTAAAAGGGATTAAGCTCTTATAGAGAGAGCCCTTTTCAGTCGTTAGCAAAGTGTGTAGAATAAATATTTCAGAGAGGAAGATTGCTTGGCCTGTTTCTGCTATTCATTATACGTGAAAGTGAAGGTTCTGAAGAATCTTGTGGAAAACTTCCATGTCTACAGGAGGTCCTCTTCCATGATATAAAAGGGGCAGCATCCTCCCTCTCCTTACATATTTAGTCCACTTATTAAATGCCAGAAAAGGGCTTGGTTGTCACCTCCAACTGTTTAGAAAAAACAGGTATTTGTTGGCTAATACCCAATTTTTGAAAATAAAATCTAGCCATTCTCAGATTGTGTTCCAATTTACCTGAACTTTTGCCTGAATGGAGTTGTAAGAAACTTGACTTTAGTTAAAGGAATGAGATCAGTACTGAGTTTGTTAATTTCTGCTTTTTTGTACTTTATTGCCTGTTCCATAAAGAAAAATATTGTGCATTGCTTTTTTAATGAGTTCAACTTCCTGAGTTAAGCAGTTTGCTCAAGCAGATCCTGTAATTTCTTCTATAAAATATTACTCATCTCAAGAAACTGTAACATGTTGTGGATCATTTCCTTCTTGGAATTAGATTGCCTCATATCTTTGTCATACCATATTTTCTTCCATGGGTATTTATGTGTTGTGTCATGTATTAGTTGCTGATGTAATTGTCTAAAAATCAATATATTGTAACCCTCCCCATCCATTTTTTCCAGTGGTTAAAAGAATTTAAAAACAAAATATTGCCAGAAACAGACCCCCGTTATGAGGTGGTAAAAAAAGTTGTGGCTCACCTGTCAGAAAGCAACCATGATGTCCCACAGTTCTCTGAAATCAGGTGGACCGTCCATGTAGTGGACGAACCAGATGTTAATGCTTTTGTACTTCCAGTAAGTAACTTTGCCTGACAAAGGATATGCTATAAAACTCTTATCTATAAAAGAAACAATTAAAACTGAGTGTTTGTGGTTTCTCTTTTTTCCACATAGAATGGTCAAATTTTTGTTTTCACCGGTATGTTAAAGGCTGTGTTGGATATCAATCAGCTGTCTTTCATTTTGGCCCATGAAATTGCTCATGCTGTTCTGGGACATGCTGTAAGTATATTCTGTTTAAATAAATGTTTAAATGCTTCCATAAAGCTAAATTGTGTTTAAATCATATTGGAAGCCCTGGGGATTCACAGAAAGGTGTTTTCTTTAGAAATCTTTGCATCTTTTAGTACAGAGATTCTCACATTTTTAAAGCTACTGAACTCTTTTTGAAGGAAAAGTTTCTTGTGGAGCCGCAAGAAACCTTTGGGCACAGGGCTCACATTGCATTTTAAAATTTGACAGATAGGTCGGGCCAGTGGCAGATGGATGGAGAATGTTTGTGTGAACTAATTGGAAAAAAATTAGTTCCTATGCACACTGCACAGATCTTGTTATTAATAATAATAATAATAATAATAATAATAATAATAATAATAGGAGCAGCTTCAGGGGCTACCCAGTCCAACCTGTTTCTCCCATGCAGTAAAAGCACAGTCAGAGCAATGGCAGGAAGGCCTCCCTACCACTGGTGCAACCTGTGGTTCTTTCCCACCAGCAGCGCAATCTGTGGGGCCTCCTGCCACTTGAAGGATCTTCCCACTGGCAGAGGGAAGGCCCCTCAGGCCTAGTCAGGGGGAGCTGAGGGATGAAGGCCCTCTACAGAGCATAGTTTGAGAACCGCTGCTCTAGTATCATTGGAGGAAATTGACCACACACTGAAGGACTAAAGATTCCCGGAGATGATACTTTCAATCAAATCCATGTGTAATCAAATCCATAACAGACAAAATATCAAATGTGGAGAGATTACTGTAATCACTGAACCTTAATGCTCTCAGACACAGTGTTCTAAATGTAGTGTGCATGATCCTAGACATAAAAGTTTTCAGGAACACAGCTTTCCCTCACCCTTTTAGCAAGGTTAAATAATGCATGACCTTAATTTTTAGGTGCCTTGGTGGGTCTCTTATTCAGTATCTTTTATCTGGGAAAAAGTGCAGTTACATTTCACGTTGCCGAGGGGAAAAAGCTTTTAACCTTTTTCCCTTGTAGTTTCTTTAGCTGGTTGTTAAATGTATTGTTAAATATACTGTTAATTTTTTTAAAAAATACATACAGAAAGTATGCCTTAGATTAGGAGAACACACACACACAAATATGTTCAGACAAACAAACACATTTTTCCTATTTTAAGGCAGAGAAAGCAAGTCTGGAGCACTTCTTGGATTTTCTGGTACTCATTCTTCTCACAATGATATGGGCTGTGTGTCCTCGAGACAGTTTGGCAATTATAGGCCAGTGGATCCAGGCCAGGTTTCAGGAGGTAAGATCATCATATTTTTGTGTTTTATCTTGGACCATCTGATTTCCATTTGTTATCGTGTCATCTAGGAGGTTCTATGTCACTGTATATGCTGCTCACTGATGAGCCCTGAAAAAAATTTCATTTTGGCTTGTAGCTCCCAAAAATCCTAGCACCATATGGCCAACTCCTGAAATCCTGCCAATCTGGAATGGGCCACTGTAGGAGGTTCAGATGTCACTTTTATGCTCCATGTGGGGCTCCACATGGAGAGTTTCTGTGTCTATAGGCCTTCAGGTCACCTCTTGACTTATGGCAGCCCCATGAATTTCAGAGGGTTTTCATAAGCAAGGAATACTTAGAGATGATTTTGCCAGTTCCATCCTCTTAAATAGAGTACCTGGTTTCTGTTGACAATCTCCAATCCAAATAGTAACTGGGGCTGACCCTGCTTAGCTTTCTTCATCAAATAGGATCTGGTGCTATAGATTATCTAGGCTCTAGTAAATTAACTGCTGCAAAATAAAACAACTCCCCCCATCAAATGTTGAGTTCTAGTTCTTAAAAATTTATGGGGTTTTATGGCAAGCAGTACGTGAATCCATTTAACCCATCTAAAAGGCTTCCACAAGCAGCAATTTACTCTTCTTTTTGTGGCGGGTTCTGACCAGAAAAGCTTGGTCAGTAGATTCTTCAAGTGTCAAGGTCCACAAAAACATCCTTGGGAAAATATTCACCCTTCTGTTGCAGAAAGTCTGTATGTTAAACCAGTCTTAGGTTTGTTAAAACTGCATTCTACATTGTAGGGTGCATCTACAATGTAGAATTAATGCAATTTGACACCATTTAAACTGCCATAGATCAATGCTATGGAGTCATGGGAGTTGTAGTGCATAGAAGACTAACAAACTTGTTTAGCAACTCTCAGTATTCCATAGCAATGAGCTGTGGCATTGAAAGTGTCAAATTGCATTAATTCTACAGGGTAGAATGATATAAATTGCATATTAACCTTGGTGAATGGCACATTGCAAGCCCTGTGGTATGCCTTTTCCCCTTGGGGAGAGAGGTTACTGAGATCCATCTCTTTCAATTTAAAAAGGACACAGCATATAAGTTAAAGAGTCAGTATTTGGGTTGCTGGGAGTTTTCTGGGCTGCATGGCCGTGTTTCAGAAGCATTCTCTCCTGACGTTTTGCCATCTGTGGCAGGCATCCTCAGAAGTTGTGAGGTCTGTTGGAAAATAGTCAAGTGGAGTTTATATATCTATGGCATGTCCAGGGTGGGGAAAAGAACTCTTGTCTGTTTGAGGCAAGTGTGAATGTCGCAATTGGCTAGCTTGATTAGTCTTGACTAGCCTTGCAGCTTCAAAGCCTGGCTGCTTCCTTCCTGGGTGAATCCTTTGTTGGGAGGTGTTAGCTGGCCCTGATTGTTTCCTGTCTGGAATTCCCTTTTTTATGAGTGTTGTTTTTATTTACTGTCCTGATTTTGGAGCTTTTTAAATTACTGGTGGCCAGATTTTGTTTCTTTTCATGGTTTCCTCCTTTCTCTTGAAAATTTTCACATTCTTGTGGATTTCAGTGACTTCTCTCTGTAGTCAGATATGATGGTTGTTGGAGTGGTCCAGCATTTCTGTGTTCTCGGATAATATGCTATGTCCAGGTTGGTTCATCAGGTGCTCTGCTATGGCTGACTTCTCAGGTTGAATTAGTCTGCAGTGCCTTTCATGTTCCTTGATTTGTGTTTTGGCAATGTTGTGTTGGTGGTCACTGTGTAGGATTGTCTCACCTCTGCACAGTAGACTCTTGCAGAGGTGAGGGGATCCCTCTTGTCCTTTGCTGAACGTAGCATTTGTTGAATCTGTAGATAGTTTGTAGGTTGTGTTTCTTCACACTTTCATGAGCTCAGGGTAAATGTTAAGAAATGTACTGTTACATTTTCCTGGCTGCTGATATGAGTTAATAACATTTTTTTTCTTCTGAACTTATTCTACTGGCCTTAGGCATACTACTGAGTGGAGTATCATTAACTAGAATCAATAATTTAAATTCTAATGTAACATTCATCAGCAGAAGTGTTTACTCTCTGAAAGATGGTGTGCATTGCACGATTGAACTTCCTTTTTTCTTCCTTTGTGTTTTTAAAGGTTAGCTTGATCACCCAGAAAAACAATTTCAAATACAATATAATTCCCCTTCTACAATTTTGGGCCAATACAATGCTATTTCAGTGTTCTTGGCAAAACCTCATAGATCTCCCCAAACAATCCAGAACCTTGAATGCTTTGAGATCCTTCCACTTGGCTTCTCTTGGCTTAGTGTTACAAGGCTCATTAACCAGAAAGAGAGAAGGGTATAAATGGTCTTGCTCTCCCTGCAAAATTTCTTATTACACTTGAACTTCCTGCCAGTCAGGAATGAAATCAGAGATGTAGGAAAAAGGCAGTTCAGTAACCTACCCGAAAACGGCTGAGAGAACTGTCAGGATGATCAATGATACTTCAGCATCATTTTTTATCTTTATAGTACACAAGTTGTCAAACCAAGTTCTTTGCTTCTTGCCACATTTGGAGGTTTCTTTCTTTCTGTTTGCATTACAGAAATAGATAATATCTTGCCACCACTTTTCCATATTTTTAAAGGAGAGGTGCCAGGAAAAGTGAGGTTGATGGAATTTATTGATCTAGGTTTAGTGTTATGCTGCCATGTGTTGAATCTGCAACTCCAAAGCAGTCTAACTAGCATAGGCAAGGAAGAAGAATGGTAGGACTTCCAAACCAGCAAAATCTGGAGAGCTACACAATCCCCACAGATGTTCTGGCACCTCATTTGCACCAATAGATATTTTTATCAATATTTTTGGTAAAGTTTTGAACCTTTTGTTATGACTTGGTAGCAAATTAGCAAGAAGTTCTATTGCAAAGAGGTACACTTTTTAAAACTGTTCTGGAAGAGCACAGCATTAACTTGCATGAGGTTACTTTAGCAGGAGAACACTTAGCAATTTCTTGTGTTTTTCTTCACCTTCCTTGTAGTTGCTGTTTCATAGACCTTATAGCAGGACATTAGAAGCCGAAGCTGACAAAGTTGGACTTCAGTTTGCAGCTAAGGTAATGCTATATAAATATATTATCAACACAAGATTATTTTGCCTACCTTTAGATATACTGTGATGCTCATAAATAATTTTCATTGTATAGTTGTGTCTGAGAGAGAACTATATCACTACTGCCACCTACTGTTAATACAGGTGAGTATCTTTTATCTGAAATGTTTGGGACAAGTTGTATTTTGGATTTCAGATTTTTTTTCCTATTTTGGAATTCATATATTTGCATATATGCCCATAATGAAATATCTTGGAGTTTGAGACTGAGGTTTTTAACATGAAATTTGTTTATGTTTTATATACATTGTTTACATAGACTGAAGATAATTTTATACATTATTTTTTTGTGCAACAAAGTTGATGTACACTGAATCACCAGAAAGCAAAAGTCTTACTATCTCAGCCATTCATGGACAATTTTGGATTTCAGAGTATTTTAGATTTTGGAATTCCAGATAAGTGATGAAGTATGCCATCTGTCGGGTGCGTTGAATGCAATTTCGTTTCTTGGCAGGGGGTTGGACTGGATGGCCCACGAGGTCACTTCCAACTTAATGATTCTATGCAAAGGGATCTTGTAGCACAGTGGTTCTCAACCTGTGAGTCCCTAGGTGTTTTGGTCTACAACTTCCAGAAATTCCAGCCAATTTACCAGCTGTTAAGATTTCTGGGAGTTGAAGGCCAAAACATCTGGGGACCCACAGGTTGAGAACCACTGCTGTAGCACCTTAGATGTATCTGAGGAAGTAGACCTAAGGCACAGCTACACTGAGTATTTTAAGGGGGGGGGATCACCTCCATGGTGGCTGCATGATACATGGAGCTGATTTGGATTATTATGGCCTTGAACTGCGTTAAAAATTGTGGGTCGCTCTCAATTTCCCCCAATAATCTAGAGCAATCTTTCGCCTATGTAACAAGCAGTTTGGCTGGTTCTAAGAGAGAACCAGAAACAACTGTTTACATGACCATCCCATCATCCCTGGGTCTTGGAGACCTGAGGACATGGGATAGCATTCATTGTCCTTCTCCTGTTCTTGTTGTAGTGGGGGGCCAGCAGGTACAACATGACTAGTGTCCATCACTTGTCACCTGGAGAGACGTTGGCCAAGGGACAAAGGAAATTGGAGAAGGGAGGGAGGGAATGAAGTTCTGATTTCTCAATTCCTGTGTCATCCTGGTGCCCTAGTCAACAACACTCCAGATAACTTGTGACAGGCTTTAGCAATGCTGTACCCTTGGGCCACCACTTTATTGATAACAGGAGGTGGATAGTAAGGTTGGCTGTCAAGCAGTGTTGAACCGGATTCAGTGCCATTGGGCAGATAGGATTCCTTCCTACCAGTCCCAGTCCAGAGCCAATTTGGAATTCAACATTCAGGATCCACTTTGAGATAAAGTGTCTATAAAAGCTTATGCTAACAACTTCATTTCACAGTTTCCAAGGAGCTGCAACATCCCTTTGCATATTGATATTCCAGACTGAAGCTGGATCTACACTGCAGTGTAGATCCATTATATTATCAGTCTAGACTCATATGATGTAATTAAACTGCACTTTATGGCTTTACACTGAAAAATACTAATGTGAAAAACTTCAGGTGAATTCTTTGGTCATTGATATCCATTGATCACATCATTAATTGTACCCAGATTTCAGTAAGTCAAGCTACATGCAATTTCCACTTAATAACAGATATGCTCCAATGATTCTTATTTTAGGTTCATGTTAGAAACATACATATTTTGGAGCCTTCCTGGAATAATCCAGTTTACCATGACTTTTACATTTATGCATAATACAGATATTGTATATTAATATGTTTTGTTTCAGATTTGATGTACTCCTCTTTAAAATATTTAGATACTATGTATAAGCATTCATAAATAACTGCATGGATAAATATTAAATACTTTGTTTTGTTATTATAGGGCAGAATTTTAATAGTATATTAAACAGATATTTGAGCAGAGAAGTTGTTGTCGAGCAGAGAAGTATTGTGTGCTTTTTATGCAAACATTTGTTTTTCTCTGAAAGGTCCTTCTTTCCTTCCACCAGTGCCCTGTTTATCTGTCTAGAGCATTTTCAAAGTCTGTTTCCACATTGCTGCAGCAGTTCCTTTGCCTGTAAAGGTCAAGAACTTAACCCAGATGGTTTTGCTTCTATTAGCATAATTGGTATCTTCTCCTCTTGCGTTAACATATGTGCACAGATGCCACCTGTTCAATTTAGAGAGCTGTTTGCATTTTCAGACACTGGGTGCTTTGCTTACAACTGAAGCTACTGTTCACATACAACTTATTATTTTCAGAAAGTTATATGAGGATTAAAGGAATGTGAGTTTGGTACTAATAAGTCATTCCTCCAATGGCTCTGCGTTCAAGCATATGTCAAGTTATGACCAAGTAACTATTCTTCAGTTTGACCCAGTACTGAAATTCAGGAAGCATTAGCTTTTCTATTTAATTTTAAATATAGACACCAATCCAATTGTCCTAAATGCAGTAAATACATTTGGGATTTGGTAAATCAGCACTTATACACACATGTATATTATATTATATTCCCATCTACACTTATTAGGACTAACAGTTGGTTTTCAATGTGTTGTCAAAGACTTTCATGGCTGGAATCACTAGGTTGTTGTGAGTTTTTCAGGCTGTACGGCCATGTTCTAGAAGCGTTCTCTCCTGATGTTTCACCCCATCTATGGCAGGCATCCTCAAAGGTTGTGAGGTCTGTTGGAAACTAGGCAAGTGTGATTTATATATCTGTGGAATGAAGGAGAAAGGGGCAGCTAACACTTCCCAACATAGGATTCCCCCAGGCAGGAAGCAGTCAATCTTTGAGGCTGCAAGGCCATTCAGTGCTAATGAAGGTGGCTAATTGCAACATTCACACTTGCCGGAAGACGACAAGAGTTCTTTCTCCCACCCTGGACATTCCACAGATATATAAACCTCCCTTGCCTGGTTTCCAACAGCCCTCACAACCTCTGAGGATGCCTGCCATTGATGTGGGTGAAACGTCAGGAGTGAATGCTTCTGGAACATGGCCACACAGCCTGGAAAACGCACAGCAACCCAATTGGTCTTCAACTTGAGATGGGAATTTTCAGAAAACGTATTTTAACCATTGGCATAGAACTTGGTTATCTTTGACCATTGAGCTTGGTGGTCTTTCCAAGTTTTCGAGGTATCTTGGAGAATTTTAATTAAAGCTATAATTCTAAATACGTTTATTTGGATCATGAAAGTTTGTGGTATTAGATGTGACCCACCATTCCTGTAGTAATCCTATGTGGCGCTCATCTTAAACATCTGATTGTGGAAGGCTGGTTTGGAGTGCTAGCATGAGTAAGATTTTTCTCAACCAAAAATAAATCTATCCGTTGCTTGATTACTTCTTTCTTTCTCTGACTTCCTCCTGTCAGAAATAATTGTGCAATTTCAAGGCCTTGTTATCACTTTATTCTCTTGCCAGAACAAGGTGACTTAATCAATTACCCTAGTACTCTGGCAGATAATGTCATTGTTCTGCTTCCCCTTAAATCGTGCTCCCTTCTGTTTCCCCTTCATTTACTGCTCCCAACTCTGGCAGCAGCTTCATGGCACAGTATTGGCTGTACTTAGGTTGAAGATTGTAACACCTATAGAACATATTATGTTATCCCTGAATTTGGTTTTTATTTGATCAAGTCTATCAGCTGGCTAGAGCACTTCAGAATTTTCTATGGCAAGATGTCTATTTCTGTAATGCAAAAAGAAAGAAATAAACCTCTAAATATAGCAAGAAGCAAAGAACTTTCAGCAGATTGAAGCTCTAGCAAAGGTGCGGTTCTCTAGTTATAGGTTGTGAATGGCCCTTTTCTGAAATGCATGGGACCAGAAGTGTTTTGGATTTTTGACTTTCAGATTTTAGAATACCTGTATTTTTATATATGTATATTTTCATATACACAATGAAATGTTTTACAAATTCACATTTCCTGCTGTTTTACACATCTTATTGTCTCTCCCCAGTCTCACAAATTGTTGACACATTACTTGTGCTGTGTATAAAATGTGAGGCTGGAGAGAGACTGAGAATCTGAGAGATTGAGGGTATCTGTTAATTTGTATTTGAATGTCTATATTTTTAAAAGCCAAGCCCACATACTTTACAGCCTGCAAATTAACAAATAGCCACCACCTAGAAAGCAAAAGTGGGCAGCTATTGGCAAAAGGTTTCAGATTTCAGAGTTTTTTGGATTTCTAAATTAGAGATGCTGAACCTCTATTTGTGTTTTCTCTGCTACAGGTGATCATTAACATGAATTGTTAGGTTTCTATGTGATTTATTTCTGAAGACCTCTTTATGCGGCATTATTTATATCTCCTTTGCTTTGCTTCTAGGCTTGCATAGATGTAAGGGCAAGTTCTGTATTCTGGCAGCAAATGGAACTAGCAGAAACTATTCAGGGATATCCAAGATTGCCAGAATGGCTTTCTACACACCCTTCACACGAGAATCGAGCTGAACATTTGGACAGACTAATACCAGAGGTAAGATAAAACTCTAAAGATTTTCTTTTCTCTTGAAAGCTGAATTACGCTGATAGCTCTTTGAATTCATGACATATTTATCACATCCTGGCAACCTTTTGTATTCATGTATGTTTTTCCTCAAGGTGGTATACATGGAATTGATTTCATTTTCCCACCAATCCATTGCTCCAGTGCACTGGGTGAACATCTTTATTTCTTAAGATGCTTTAAGCAAAAGATACTGACATTTATCTTTGTCCTTGGGCTTCACCCTTTCACCTGTCCTGTCTGGAGGCACATGACTTTCTGTGGAGATCTATTTATACATTTATAAATTCATTTAGAGTCTTTGACATTACATACCATTGTGATCTTTATGTCTTAGTTATGACTGAGAGAAATGACAATTGATCTAAAATTTTCTAGGTGCACATTCAGTATATTCTGCCAGTATTGTTGCTTTGTTAATATTCATTGAAGTTTTGGTTCTGAGAAATCCTATAACACCAGACACAAAATTGTTGGATATCTTGGGATGAAGAAGCTCTCCTAAGCTTTGGTTTCCTATCTGTCAAGTGGAATAATAAATGTGTTTTTAAAGAAACTGAACCAAAGTTTCACTTCCTTGCTCTTGAGGTGAGAGTGAGTTTTGTTTTCCAGAAGAACATCTGATTCCTGATTTTTCTTGTAGCATCATTTAAAAGAACCTGACACTTCCTTTTTTGCATCTTTTCATTTGCATGGTCTTCATAGAAAGAGTCCTTAACAGTGTATCTCCCCTACATGTTTTCATGTCTTGCTCCTCATCTTCATAAAGCAATCACTTTGTAAATGGTGCATAAACCATTTTGTCTATTCTAGCCTTCATCTTCTAATAAAATCTTATTGTCTTATTCTGTAATAAAGACCTTTTCTCCCTAAGTGGGATATGACTGAATAAATAAAATGAGTAGACTGAGTGAATAAATAAAACTTTGTTTTCTGCATTTTGCTCTGTATGCAGATAAATGCTAAGTAGGCTGTTTTGCAAGACACTTATTTTCAGACTTTGAGTTTTCTGTTTTACTTTTTTTGAAGAGAATTTCAGAATAAATTGCAAATTAGTCTTGTGCATTTGTACAGAATCACTAACCATTCCAGMTTGTTTCATTTGTAAGCACTTTTTTTCATTTTWGAGCYCTTCACTCGAAAACGGCTGCCTTTCCAAATGAGCTTTTTTGTCCAAGGTCAAAAAAAAAAAAACCCCGAATATTTTGGTCCATTGGTGGCAAAGTGTCAGGACCTACAGCCGAGCACTGAGTAAGAGGTGCTCGGCTGTAGGCCCTGGCAGGGCCTACACCCGAGTACGCCGAGGCGCTCGACGCTTTGCTTTAGGTCCTGCTAGGCCTTGCCAGGGCCTACAGTCAAGCGCCGAGTGCCAAAAGTCAGTCAACCAAACAATTACTATTCCCACTTAACATTCATTTCACTGATATTTCCGTGGGGGGGGGGGGGATGTTCCATGACATCCAAATGAACAGTATGAAACAAAAGCACAAAAGAAACAAATGAGACCAATACCGGGCCCATGACAACTGCAAATGGCCACTTCACACTTTAGAGCAGGACCAAATAGTTACTGATAATAAATCAGCATTTGCAAAGATTTGCTAAGCAGGCAGATTTTTCTCTTTATGAAGTATAGCTGAAACATCTTCTGCAGAGTCCACTGTAAGCACTGCACAGATTTTTGTAAATGTCTAAAACAGCCACTAGGTGGCATTCAGAAAACTTTTACTGTTTTTCCATTGCTGAATTTCTCAGGACCATTGAGCTAAGGGGACCCCATTTGGGGTTAGTACTCACAGTTTAAAGAGCCCTTCTCTAGAGGTAGCCTCTATAAAATAATAGTGATACACATTGTGGCAGAAATGGTACAGAAATTGACTAATGTTGACACACCTTTGGAGAGTTTGAAGGTTTTTTGTATTGTTGGCCTCCCATCTACTTATCCAATTAGATGTTTAATAAGTTCAATAGCATGTGAACTTACTCATGTCTAAATAGTTCAGATTATTGAAGTGGTAAAATTGTTCTTGGAACTAGGAAACATAACTTGTGTATTTTCCCCCTTTGAGAATGAATTGTGGCATGTCTGTGGGGTGTGGGTTGCCCATCTTTTTTTCAGAGTGTATATGCAAGAATTCAGAATACTTACATTGTGGTGCACATATGTTAGCAATCACAATGCATATAAAATGTATTGTTCAAAAAGACTTTCATTAATGAAATATATTAACTGCATTTATCTGTTTAAATACATTTGCTGGTCTAAGTGCTCAGCATAGGGAGAGTCATTTTATTCTGAGTTCCCTAAAAATGGCCGAAATTATATGTTAATGTTATTTATGCAAGTAGAGAAAACTCTTAACTGTTTTGAAGCTTATGCTGTTGGAGCTTTCCCGGATTAAAAAAGCAACTGCTGACTCTCACATTGAGAAGCCATAAAATTCATTCTTCCTGTTTCTAATCTTTCAAGGCTGGCAGATGACAGTTTTCAAAGCACTGACACATTTATGTAGAGAAATGCCATTACAGTTCTACCTTGAGTTTTGCAGTATGAAATAGAAAGGGATCTTAAATTTTGCATGGGAAAGAAGGAACATTTGCTTTTAGGATGGTTGAGGAGAGATTTAAAATGTAACATTAGGTTTTAGGGGGTCTAGGAGAGGAAGAAAGTCAGATGGGAAATTTAACACATGGATAACCAAAGACAAAATTCAGAGGAGCAAGAATATAAATGTACTTTCTGAGATGAATTTCAATTGATATCACACCCATGAGTCAAAGTCCAGGGTATAAGAATTATATTAACTGCATTACTTTCAGCTTTATCTTTCAAGGATTTCTAAGTGGGCACTCAAATATTCATGACCATTTTAATATATCCAAATAATCTACATCACTGCATATGTCACTACACCTATTGGCCATAGATAGATATCCCCAACTGCAGTTTGTTTATGTGTTTTTATGTTCAGATAAGAGAAATATTAAAAGCATTTTGAGTTTCCACCATGAAAATATTGTAGGATATATTTGAAGTCCTATATGCAAAAATTCTTAAACTATTATGTTTTTGTTTGTATGTGTTCTTTAAAATTCAGTTATTTTACTTCATTTCTTCCATTTTAAACTGGGTTTTCGGTGTTTAGAGAGAGAATTACATGCTGTTGAATGTTTCTATGATTTGACCATATTTTCCATAGTATTCACTTATATGATGGCCTTTAAGAAGAGGATCATATCCACTTACTAGCAAATCCCAAAATTAGTTGTGATTTTTAACATGTGTTGGTGGCATCTACTTTGAGAGGTTTTAATATAAAGTCCAGGTTTTGTCATATCAGTGCTAATCAATAGTAGACCGTTGAACTTTACATAGGAACCATTTATACGGTACACTTGCATCTTTCTCAGAGATCTTCTCACAAATGCTAGGGCTCTTACCACTGAAGAACTCAAAATTGTGTACATTTGTGATGCAATGTCAGTGGGAGAGAAAATTGCCACTTACATTGCCCAAAGCCAAATACACATCTGTCCAGTAATTGCTAAACCTTGTCTGAAGGTAACTCTAGGCACTTTAAGTAAATTACATTGCCATGTCTTGTTCCATGTCTGACCAAATCACAGGCCATGAATGCCATGTTGAACATATTGTGGTGTCATCATAAAGGCAGGAGTGAAAAAGCCACAAAGCTTGGTCAGGCTGCTATAATTCTTATAACCCTATTGCTGAAACCATGAATGTGATTTCTCTTTCCTTAGACTATTTGTCAGTACTCTTGTAGAGTAGATCTTTTTTCCCCCTTGGCTGGATGGCCTCCTCCTCCTCATTCTTAAACAGTGGTGGGCAAAGTGTGGTCATGGCACACCCATGGCTGTTTTTATAGCCTTTAATCCATCCAAATTCCCCTTTCTATCCTGTCGCCCAGTGAATTGTGTCTCTTGGAAACTACTAGAAAGATCCGTTCATCTTTTAAGTAAGGGCCCCCTACAATGTTTCAATGTTTCAATGTTTTCAAAACCAATTTTAATCGGTTGTCATTTTTTCATTCGTTTCTGCCATGTTCCAGTTCTCAGCCACTTCCTGCATCTACCAGGGGAGAAAACTGGCCACTGGTTTTACTGTTGTTGGTTAGCCTAAAACAATAAAATGCTGGACATAAAATCAGTATTATCCAGCATAGTTTTGAGTGTCAGACTATTAGTGTAGATCAGGGGTCCCCAAACTCAGGCCTGCGGGCCGGATGCGGCCCGCCAAGGGCATTTATCTGGCCCGCGCAGCCTGGCCTGGCCTGGCGCAAAGCCCCTCACCGTTTTTCTCTCTCTCCCTCCGGAGCAGCTTCAGGCGGGGGCGTGCCAGACCAGGCTTCTTCCTCTTTCTTTCTTTCTTTCCTTCCTTCCTTCCCCTTCCCCCTTTCTCTCCCTGCCCCTTCCTTCTCCTTTCCCCTCCCTCCTCCCCTCCCTTCCTTTCCTTCTTCCTTCATTCCTTCCTACTGGGTGGGGATGCCGGCCCGGGGAAGCCAGCATTGCCTGGCCACGCCCACCCGGCGCCACCTCTGCTTGTTCTCCAGGCGTGGCTGGGAGGGGAACAGGAGGCGCCTCATGGCCGCAGATCTTCTTCTGCTGCGCTCTCTTGTTCTCCGTGGCCACGAGGCGCCACCTGCTTCCCTCCCAGCCGTGCCAGGAGAACAGGCGGAGGCAGCGCCTGGCCCGGTGTACCACGGAGAGAAAGAAGAAGGAAGGAAAGGAAGGGAGGGAAGGAGGGAGGGAGGGAGGGGAAAGGAGAAAGAAGGAAGGGAAGGAAGGAATGGGAAGGGAAGGGAAGAGAAAGGGGCCAGGGGAAGGAAGGAAGGAAAGAAGGAAAGAAGGAAAGAAGGAAAGAGGGAGAAGCCTGGTCTGGCCAAGTTTGGTCCAGATCCAACATTGTTTGAGTCTACAGTGACCTCTGGATGTAGGTAAACTACAACTCC